ACATTCGTAGCACCATATTACAACTCGTCAGAGATAAGTGAAGCCCATCCTTTGATCAAATGTGTGCTAAACATCTGCCTTGGGCTATTCCCATTTCCTATATCGTCCTAACATACCTTCTCTTTCAAAATTTTTACAGTGCTTATTTTTGATGTAGTGGAGTGCTCCTTCAAGCGGCATTCATGAAAACCCTTCAGACTCCACACTGTCGTTATCACCCCCTTCACCCTTGTGCTGGGAATGTTGACCAGAGTCTGTCATATTGTTTTACGTAGTCCTTGCATGGGTCCTATCAAAGTCTCCGTCTTGCCCCGTCGAATCCGTCTCCTATCTCACTCATACATCTATTTCACTCGACCCCTGCCCCCCCATCTGTGCTACTCGAGGCGTAATTCATCCATCCCCTGCACCTGGGTGATTGATTAGAGGCTAAAGCCTCAGAGTAAGTCTCATGGTCATGCCTTTGCTACATGGACCATGTCTCTTGTAAAACCTATCGTCGCCGCCTCGTCTATCCTGTCTATATCCCTAATACCAAGCCTATGATTTGCCATGCCCTAGTTGCTTGTGTGCCAACCCACAAATGTTGTGGTACTGCTTGCTTTGATTAGGTTCAATGTTAAATCACAACGTTTGTGGGTTGGCACACAAGAGACTAAGGCATAGCAAGTCATAGACTTGGTTATATAGATAGAAAAGGAATAGAAACAGTGAAAGCTAGAGCTAGTTGGCTAGCAAGTCGTGATTCAAGGATCGCTTCTATGATCAAACACGACTATTTTAGCCAAATAGCTTAGTCTTTACCGCGTAGTTCCTATTTCTATATGTAATACCATGTCCACCACTTCCTACGTCCTAGTCTCTTGTGTGCCAACCCACAAATGTCGTGGTTCTACTTGCTTTGATTAGGCTCACTGAAGACGTCTCCTCTTGGCTTCTGATTGTTCCTTTCTCATCCCCCTGCGATCTCTTTTCCTAAAATAAAGAATATTACCTAGATCTAGTCGTCTTCATTTTGCTGATCTTCCTGTTGCCTGGTCTTCTCCGAGTTTGTTTAGGCAATAAGCAAAGTTTTTTGCTGATCCTGCCTTCTTTAAGTCTCCTGCTCATTAGATTTCTCTCGGTCAGTATTTCGATGACCCTTCGGATCATGCGTTTTCTCCTATTTTCACCACATGCAGCGAACCATTCGGTCGATTTCGTGCCCCGTTTGTGCAATGCATTCCGCTATTTCGGATATTTTCGTATCCATGTTCCTGCAGAGTCTTTGATGTTCCTTGATTCGTAGGCCG